GAACGTTAACTTCAACAATACAGTGTGACTGCAGTTCAATTACTCACTGTCTATCCAGACACGTTACATTCCCCTCTTATATATATCCGCCTACCCTATATCTAGTAAGAACTAGAACATTCGCCAAAGTACAGGATAATTCAAGAAAGGAGAGAGCGTGAGAATCACATGATCTCGATGACGCAACAATACATTCAGTGCTACAGGTTAAGCTAAAATTGTTTATAGTAAGTTATTTTCAAAGATCAATTAGACTGTACATTAAAGAATGAAAAAAGATCTACCGTGTTTACATGTACATAAAATAACCATGCAGTATAGATTATTTTTGATATTCTTTGTTAAGCTTGGCCAAGTAGAAACTTAACTGATTCAGATGCCTAATAGGACCGTAGGTCTAATATTAGTGATAGAAATCACGTTAGACTACAGATTTTGATTTTCACATTGCTCTTAATTAGTGCATTATAGATTTCAGATCAGAAATGTGTGAAAGTAGCACTTTAGACCTATCATTAGTTAGTTCCATTGTTTCGCCAACTTTGAGCATCGTAATGTAATATGTAGAGATACCACATTTTCTACTCCAATATTTAACATACTGTTGCGTCAGCGAGGTCACGTGACTAGTCTCACGCCACTTCTTTCTCGAACCTTCGTGAATTGTCGGGAGATTACTAGATTGGGGGTAGTCTGGTATATATAAGATGGTCACAACGTGACGGGACAATGTGTGTGTAATTGAGTAATTGAACAGCAGTCAGAGAGTATTGTTGAGTTGAGAACGTGAGATGTTCGTTGTTATAGCGTTTGTTATAGCGCGACTGTTGAAATTAAGTGTATCGGTAAAGTTGCATTCGGAAAGAATAAACCAGTTTTATTTAAGAAAGGACTTGTGTCGCTAAAGTTTCGTAGGAACGAATTTTACGGAAAATTAATTAAAGAACGAACGGAGACGTAACAATACAAATGTTCTTACATATAAGGTATGTAGTTTTAACGACAACGTTTGTCAAGGAAGTAGCTAGATTCCTTTCACCCTGATTACTTATTGAACTGTATCATTCACTTAGGAATTATGTGCACTTTCTTGAGGGAAAATTTTTTGTAATGTAGAACATGCTGTGTGAAAGAAAACAGTGAGCTTGTACATTGGCAGGTCAGGTGGTACCTGAAGGATACATTCTCTTTTATTGTTCAATGGGAATGAACAATGGTAACATGGGTAGTGCAAGCACCATGGGAAATAATTTCATTATTCTTTTGTGTATGTAATGCTGTTTTTTCAATATGGAACTGTAATTCTTCAAAGATTCTCGCTTCTTCACAGAGATCTCTGAAAGCTCGTTAAATGGCACCATCTCTTGTACACGCTCATTAACTTTGACTGTGTTTTATTTTATGAATAATTGTTCTATTTTGTTAAGTAAATGGACTTGCAAAAGTATTTACACCTGCAAAGTTTCCACATTTTGTTGTTCCCTGAGCTTGCAGTCCTGAAACTTTTAAATAGGACATTATATTTAGAATTTACACAATCTACTCCAAATAGATAAAGCTAAAGAAATTAGACTTTCAATGAAAATTAGGATATTCTCAATTGCATAATTATTCAAGCCCTTTGCTAAGCCAACCCTAAATTAGTTCAGGTGCAAAATATTAGATTGAAAGGTCACAAAAATAGTGTAATGGTCTGTCTGTGTGTAATCAAAGCAGTTTATCTTGACTTCAGAGTAAATGCATCTGTATAAGCCATGACTAACATAGTGATACAACAAACCAACAATAAAGAACAAGGAGCTTATTAAACAAATCAGGGATAAAGTGGTAGAGAAGCACAGATCAGGAAAAGGTTACAAGAAAACTTTAAAGCTGCTGATTATCCCTTTGAGTATGGTGAAGTTCATTATTAAGAATTGGAATGTGCTTCACACCACCCATTCACTACTAAGTAGCTGGGTAAACAGGAAATTGATCAGAGATGCCACTGCAAAGACAAAAGTAACTTTGAAAGACTTGCAAAGTTCCATGTCTGAGAAGGGAGTCAGTGTTCATACATTGACAATATCCCAGTCCCTACACAAGGCTGATGTGTGTATGGGCGAGTGGCAAGAAAGAAGCCATTACTGAAAAGGAGTCATCCTAAATCTTGTATGGAGTTTGCGACAAAGCATGCAAATGATACTGCAGTCATATGGCAGAAGGTTTTTTGTGGTTAGATGAGACAAAAATTTGCATTTTGGTCTAAATTCAAAGCACCACATCTAGCACAAGCCCAAAACAACACATCACCCAGTCAGCACCATCCTAACTGTCATGCATGGTGGTGGAAGCTACCAATAATGTCATATTTTGATGAAATACAAATAATGTAAAAAGTTTTTTGATAAACTTGTTTTTATTTAATCCTTTAACGATCAAAATTAACACTGTTATGTGTGTGAAGGAGGTTGAATGCCAGCAAACCCTGCAAAGAAACTATATAAATTGACATTTGCGGATTGCATAAGTATTCAGCTCCCTAAGTCAATACTTGTTGGAAGCACCTTTGGAAGCAATTACTGCCATGAGTCGTTTTGAATAAATCTCTCCCAGCTTTGCACAATGGGATGGTGTAATTTTTGACCATTCTTCCTGGCAAATTGTTAGAATTCTGACAACTTCGTTGGGGATCCTTGATGGACTGCAATATTTAAGTCTTGCCATAAATTTTATATTGGATTGAAGTCAGGACTTTGACTAAGCCACTCCAGAACATCCACTTTCTTTTTTTGAAACCACTCCAGTGTGGCTTTGGCATTGTGCTTCTGGTCATTATCTGCAGAAGTGTGAATTTTCGACCCAGTTTTAGATTAATGGCTGACTCAAGCAGGTTTTCCTCTAGTATTCGGCTATACTTTGCATCATCCACCTTCCCATT